CCCCGCCGCGCCGGGCCGTGGGCATCCCCGAGGGCGCGGCCGCGGCGTGCCGGCCGAGCCCGCTGCCCTACCTGTGTCCGGCGTCCCGGGGTCCCCCTTCTCCTCCAGCTTCTGGGGCTCGTCCTCGTCGTTTTTCTCCAAGTCGATGTTCTCCTCTTCCTCCTCGTCCTCGCTGCGGTTCCGCGGGGTCCAGGTCATTTTGTTCTCCTTTTTGAGCCGCCGCCGCGCGTTGGCGAACCAGGTGGAGACCTGGGTGAGGGTCATTTTGGTGATGATGGCCAGCATGATCTTCTCGCCCTTGGTGGGGTAGGGGTTTTTCCGGTGCTCGTTGAGCCAGGCCTTGAGGGTGGCCGTGGCGTCCCGCGTCGCGTTCTTGCGGTACGCGGGGTCCCCGTAGGGGTAGGAGCCGAGCGGCGCCGCGTACGGGTGGTACCCCAGGGAGCCGGCCATGCCCGGCGTGTGGTCGTAGGGCGAGCCCTGGGGAGAGAGGGGAGAGCGGCCCGGCGGGGCGAGGTCAGGCGGCCGCGGGGCGGCAATGACACGGCAAGGGCAGCGCCAGGGCCTGCCCGCGGCCCCTGCCCGCGCCCCGCTGCCTCTCCCCCGGCGCCGGGCCCTGCCCGGCTTCTCCCCGGCTCATTGCCGGGAGAACGGGCGGAAGGGCCTGGGGGCTCGCCGGGGCCGGCAGGCTCCGGCCCCAGGAGGCCACCGGCCGCCTGCAGCAGTTCAGCGCCTCTCCCCCAAATGCAGGCGCGGAAACGCAAGTGGGCAGCGCGGCGTGGGGGCGGACAACGGCGGGAGGACCCTTCCCTTCCCCCCCGCGCCGCGATCGCGGCGGGTAACCTGCCGGGCCCAGGCGGCCGGGCCGCTCCTCTGCCAGCCCAAGTGGTGGGAGGAGGAAAAAAATAAAGGGAAGAAGAGAAAAGAGAAGAGAAGAAAAGAGACAAGAAAAGAGGAAAGAGAAAAGCAGGAAAGGCAGAAAAAGGAAAGAAGAAGCTGCGAAACTCTACCTAAACCCTAAACAGAGGGGAGAAGCTGAGCAAAACTCCCGGGGTTACGGGGGGAACTGCGGGGCACTGGCGGCGGCCGCAGCTCTGCGGCGGGGATGCCCCGGGCCGGCCCCGCGGTGCCCCCGCAGGCGCGCACGGCGGCGCAGTGCCCTGCTTTCCCCTTCCTTTCCCCGCGCAGCGCCCGCGGAGCAGCTCGCGGCCATGGGATTAGAGCTCTGCAAGATTTAAGCAGCCTAATTATCGCCGTGCAGGGGGAAAGTTGCCTGGGTTTATCGCCCGGATTTTTCCCATCGCCGGCCGCTGCTGGGTTCCTTCCCTTTTCAGTCGCAACCAGCTAATTGTTGCGAAATTACGACCGCCGTTTTATTAAAAAAAAAAATCTTTTTTTTTCTTTTTTTTTTGAGGGAATGAAATCGGTCCCCGCCTGCCCCAGCCCCGTCTCGCCTGGGCCATGCCGGCGGCTCCCCCCGCGCCCGGCCCTGCCCGCCGCTGCCGCCAGCAACAGTGTGCGGGAGCAGCACGGGGCGGCGATGCGGGAAAGTTGGGCGGCGAGGCGGGGAGCCGCGCTCCCTTTTGTCCCCGATATCTCAAAAATAAAATCGGAACAAAAAGCAGGCCCGGGAGGAGGGGCAGGCGCCCGCGGGATGCCGCCGTGCCCGGCGCGGTGCCGGCTGCCCGGGTCTGCTCTTACCACGTAGGAAGTGAAGGCGGCGGCGGCGGCGGCGGCCGGGTCGGTGCCGTACTGGAGGTGGGAGTTGTAACCCGGGGAAGGGGCGGTAAAGGCGGTAGATCCGGCATAAGGGGAAAAAGCGGAGCCCGAAGAAGATCTCCCAAGTTCATCGGTCCTGGGTCCGGAGATCACGCTGGTGCTGTACGCCGGGCAGGAGTAGAGAGCCAAGGACGCTGACGGCTGGTACAAGTAACCCTGAGGATACGACATGGCCAGGCGCACACATATACCCGGGAGCCCAAGGCGCCGGGAGGGAGCCGCCGCGCTGCTGGGCTGGGCTGCTGCGGCCGGGGCTTCGCGGGCGCCTCTCCGCCCTCGCCAGCTGGGCAGCGGCGGCACCTTGCTCTGTGCCGGGGCTGCTGCTCCGCGCTCGCCTGCAGCCTGGCACCGCTTCCTCCTTTTTCTCCCCCCCTCTC